TCCGAGGCGGATCGCGAGCGAGTCCGTCCGTAGTAACTCGTCGCACGACTCGAGGTCCAGCGAGAACCCCGCGAGGTCCTGGGCGGCTTTGATCGTCGCCGTGGGCACGCTGCGGGCGATGACCTGGCCCTCGCCGACGTAGAAGGGCGCGACGAGCCGCGCGACGCGCTTCTGCTTCTTGGCGCCGGACTTCGTCGTCGTCGTGACAAAGACCTCCGCCGCGCCGGACTCGCAAATCAATAGCTGGGGCTGCGCCGCGTCCTCGCCCTCGCGGATGACCTCGGCGCCCTTGGGCGTCGTCCAGTCCGCCAGCGACGCCGCGAAGGCCTTGCAGTTCATGCAGTCCTCCTCCCAGCCCTCGAAGACTTTCGACAGGACGTCCATGCGCTTCTGGATCTGCGGCGTCAGCGCCACCGTCGCCCGCGCCATCGCACTCGGCGCGGCCCGCGGACCGCGCCACCGGCGGTCGTCTTGCGCCCGCCCAAGGGCCCGCGGCCGCGTCGACGTGCGGCAGGCAGCGCTCCGCGGCAGCCCGCTTGGGCGCCGAAACTGTTCATGAACGATCAAAGAATTGCCGCTTATTCAAGGAGTACTTCAACGAGCTGCGAAGCAAAGGGGCTCCAAAGTGGCCCGGCGACGCCGCGGTCAGAGCGCCTTCCAGGCCGCCTGCGGCGCGGGCGACCCCGGCCGCGGCGTGCGGGGCTCGGGCGCGGGCGGCGGCGCGTCCGCGCCGTCGCCGGGCGCACTGGCGTAAAAAATAGTACACCAGGGAGCAGCCCAGCCGCTCGTGAAGCATGACGCGCCGCCGTCGTCGCTGCCCCCCCCGGCCCGACCATGGCGGGCCCGCTGCTCGTCTGGGAGTCCGGCGCGACGTTGTCCGTGCACGGCTTGACGGCGGCGCATTCGGGCTTCCGCCCCATCCAGTGTCGGTTGGCGGCGGCGACTTCAGGTCGTGCGCGAGCACGCTGGTTCGGCGCCCCCGGGCATCTCTGGGTTCGGACCCGCGAGGCCGCCGACTTCCGCGTTCGAGGGGGGCGCACGACCGTGCTGCGCTCCATGGAGGCGCGCTGGCTCGAGACTCTCCGCGGCGCCCGAATCGCTCGCCGCCGCGCGGCGGGCTTTCAGGGCAACCGCGTGCACGTCCGAGACCCACGGCGCCAGCCTCTGCGGCGTGGGCTACGCCGAGCCCAAGCAGACCTTCCCCGGCGACATCATCTGCCGTACCTACGCCTTCGCCGAA